CCTTTGCAGATGGTTGAGCTGAAGTTCCTCTCAATGAAGACGCTGCTTTTGCTGGCATTGGCCTCCATCAAGAAGGTAGGGGACCTGCATGCATTTTCGGTCAACGATTCGTGCCTAGAGTTCGGGCCGGCTGATTCCCAGGTGACCCTGAGGCCCCGACCATGTGCCCAAGGTTCCCGCTACTCCCTTCAGGGATCAGGTGGTGAACCTCCAAGCGCTGCCCTCGGAGCAGGCAGACCCAGCCCTGGCTTTGCTCTGTCCCGTCCGAGCCTTAAGGGGCTACGTTGACCGGACGCAAAGCTTCAGGACCTCAGACCAGCTCTTTGTCTGTCACGGAGGCCGGCAGAAGGGGAATGCCGTCTCTAAGCAGAGGATGGCCCACTGGATAGTGGATGCCATCACCCTGGCTTATCAGGCACAGGGTGTGCTCTGCCCACTCAGGTTGCGGGCTCACTCAACTAGAAGTGTTGCATCCTCATGGGCGCTGGCTCGTGGCGCCTCGCTGTCGGAGATCTGTAGAGCTGCGGGCTGGGCGACCCCTAACACATTTGCCAGATTTTATAGCCTTCGTGTGGAGCCGGTATCCTCCTGTGTTCTCACCTCAAACGGGTAGAAGCACTGAGGGGCCCCAGCTTCGGGTCGGCTCGCCAAAACCCTCCAGAGAGTCCATACAGTAGACCCTGTTGAGTTCCTCCGTCCCCTCGGCAGCCAGACGTGGCGGAGCATCCGGCGCCAGGCCTTCACTCGTCGAATCCTCGAGAATCGGTAGAAGGCTGGGTTCCATATGTAAGACCTAAGTGGATCTCATATGTGTAAAGTCCACGGTATAGCCTTGAGCCCGTGTTTCCCTGGCAGACTTCTGCCATTTCCAAGAGGGTTACAATCACCTCCATTCTTCCATATGCACCTAAGGAATGTCCATATGTGTATTGCTTCCGAAACCTCCTTCGGGAAGGTTGGAGCTTCCGTAACGCCCCTGTTCCAAGTAGAACGGGTACGTTCCCAGTGTTATCCAGTCTTACTCATTGGGTAGTGCCATAGCAGCAGTAGCTGGTCCGCTTGTGAAGAAGCCCTGGCCTATGCCAAAAAATAGGGGCGCAGGTGGCTTCCACAGGACACTAGAAGGGGCAGTAGCTGTGGCCCTTTGGTAGGATCCCAATTTCGTCGGTCCTCCGACGTGACGTCGAGAGTGACCGACTGAAAGGGAACGTCTCGGTTACGTATGTAACCCTCGTTCCCTGAAGGAGGGAACGGCTCCTCAGCGAAAACCTGAATATGCGCTGCA